TTATAAGGAACAGTCTACTTTACCTGTATAACGAACAAAATTAAAAGTTGATCTAAATCATATGAGTTATCAAAAACACTATTAACGCTTTAAAACGCATTTTCGCTAAATTGTATAATTAAATTGAAAACTCACGCCAAAGCAGCTATTTCACGTTATAACAATTGACAATTGTTTGATATTTACACTCTCTTTAAAGGTTTCAACTCGCAGAATACACTAATAATAATAATAGTAAACAATATTAAAGTAGATTTGTGTTTATCCTAGGCGGAAACTAGTAAAGTAAAGTCTAGATATTCCCTAGCACAGTGCGAATGTATTCGAAACCGGGAAGCGGCCCGGATCTGGGACAGTATGCGTGTCGTCCCTAAACGTTCCCGTAATGAAAATTAACGTACCCGGCAAACTCGACTCCTTTTGCTTTAATTTCACGACCTAATTGGCTTTTGTTTGCATAATTCTACGGTTAATGAAATTAACTAGGGGGGGGGGGGGGGGGGGATAAATCTATTAGAGTTATTTGGTTTAATTAAACAAATTAGGTATAAACAATAAGTTTGTACTAACCAAAATAATGTAACTGGCTTTGGCCATTTTTTTAAATAAATAATTTACTCTAGGTTCATATATACGGGTGAGACAATGCACATATCTTGTTTAATTTAATAATTCAAAGTTAACACATTACCAGAAGACTATAATGAATCTATCGTAACAATTATGAGGGTACATTGTTATTGTGTTTAATTTTGGGCCATTCACGACTCGGTGGCTGGTGCGACTGCGTGGGAACTTGGGGTCGTTTTTATTATCAAATAAATATTGCTGTTATGTTTAGTGTGTGTTGATTTAAATTAATTTATATTATTATACAAGAGTCGCGAAGTTACATATATAGGTCGACATCGCATCTTAGACGTTATATGGATGGAGTATTTCATTTTCCATCTCATGAATACCCAAAGCCAGAGAATCATTGACAATCATCAATCGATGGCTTTGAGACATTCAGAAATTCAAGCGGTAACCGAAACGCGATTACATGATTTCAGAGCTTTTTTACTGTGTAGTTCATGACTTGGAAGGAATTTCGATAATCCACACAGTAATACACATTTAAATACAACACTAATGGCATTAATCGCGGAATGTATTAGTTAGAGTTCTTTTTTTTAACTTCAGCCGTGGTCTCGGGAGAGACTGAAAATGGAGGTATGACCCAAAGTAAATAAGTTAACTGATACATTTCGCGTTTAAAGTGTTGTATTTACATTTATTTATTAGAATCATGTCGATCCTAGTAGAAGTTTCTTAAATACGCGATTTAATTGCCGTAAAAGCTGGTCGTATAATCGAAATATTTCTCGCAACAGCGTATAAGGCATAACGTTAAATCAACTTGCCAGATTTGGCTAGCTCTATGAGGGTTACAGTCCACACCTTGAACTTAACCGCGCCATGTCGGAACACGACTTTTATTAATGGTACCAATTTATAATTGATAAGCTTTTTGGGAAACACCTAACTTGATTTATTGTGGCTCTTAACTGTGAAGGAGGTCTTTCGATTCTTGTAATAATGGGGATTTTCCAAGCTCGTCCGGTTACGGTAAGGGAATTTTCTATATAATCATCGTGGAATTCTCATGGAAGTTGTTGATGTTGGTGTGGCTGCAATCTTTAAGGTAGCTTCACTTTGAATCAAAGAATTAATAAAAAGCGTATGTATAAATTTGTATTGTTAGACAATTTTAATTGTGGTCTAACAATTTGATATAGATTAAATATTTCCCATTTAATAATTCAAGTTAAGATGTCGGTCATTAGAAATGCCCCAATTGGAGCTCGAGCTTAATCGAGCGGTTCAGGGTTCGAATCCCGGATCCGGATCTTCGAAAACTGTAGTCTTTGGTCGTAAGACGAGGAACTCCTACAGTCTGTAGATATGCCATCAACTGGTGAGAGCGAAATGTTAATCAATTTATTTTGGAAATCTGGAAATTAAAAGGGTGGGAGGAATATCGCCAGGGTCACAAACCACAGTCTTCAGATGAAAAAGCTGTGATTTAAATCAGCGTTTTGGTTTCAGTTTGTAGATTTCCGAATATCCTAAATAGATAGACAGCACATCATCTTGAGATATTATATGGCTGGGGTATTTCACATTTCATAAAGTGAAACTTCTTCCATGAAGTGAAGTGAAAAAAATCATAAGCCCAACTAGCATTTTATACATTCTACATGAAAAGATTGAAGTTTCACGTTAACTAAGACTTTCTTTATTAAAAAAGAGAAGCCTGCTTGGGCCACTTATCCTTAATTTGGATCAAGTATTGGGGAAAGCCACTTTTTGAGCGATGAAATTATTAATGTATGCTGAGCAGTTGCGTCCTTTGTAATGGATATTATATCCCAAACTTCCTAATACGAGGTATCTTTACACAAAGAGGGTTTTAAAAGGCAAAATTATTGACTAAATGGTAAAAATATTGTATGAGTATTAATTATGCATGAAATTCCTTTATTTAATATTTAAATGAAAATGCAAAAGTAACATTATGCTTAGTAGATACTTATTATTATCATCGTCATTGATCATTATATTAAAAAAAATCGATATAGTTATAATGAAAACCTACGATACGGGAACTACGGGAATTGAACTGGCATCTGCAACCTATTTAAATAAAACACTTTAACGGTTTAAAACGCGATATATTAAACCGTTAAAGTGTTTTATTTATGTGTACTACTCGCGTAAACTATAGACAGTATCTGCAACCTACTTCGCATTGAGCATGAATCGAACCTTTTTCGTATTTTGTAAACTATCCTAACAACATACTATGATAGTATAGATACTATCGGTTCGTTAACTAAATACACACAAAACAATATGATACATTACCTTTTCACAAATACCAACATAAGTTGATATTTACCTTACGGACAAACAGCACTTTATATATACAGTAGAAAACTACAAACAAAAATAAATGAATTTCAACGCAAAAGATATTGACTTAATAAATTAATTGCGGGACAAAACAATGTTAAAATTAAGTTTATCACGAATTTATATTTCAATATGACCATAATTTGTTATCTACAATGTATTAAATATTTGTTTGCAACAGAAGCCATTTCTAAAGATGACAGGTGTCTACAGATGGTGTATCCGGTCTGATTCCTGTTATTCAAGCTATTATCTCCATGGGCGCATTGGCAATTCAAACTGTGTGTTACTTATCATCTTCAAAATAAGGTTGTATATTACACAACCGTTAAATTTGTACAGTATATACCCAAAATTAAAACGTAGTCAGACTTCTAAAGAAAATAAAACCCGAGTGACAGCAAAACAAATCGTTTTTCAAACGATTGCTCAAAAATACTATTAACAATTTTAAAACCTTTTTCAAATAAATTATCGCCCGATAGACGTTATAAATTAACTTTACGATTCCTAAATTACTACTTTTTAAGTGAATTCGAGGAATTAAACAACAAATAGTAATGTATAATTATGTTTTATTTGGTCGTTTCGACTGTGGATGATGTTTCGACAACATTTAACATGTGAACATGTAAAACATGTTAGTAATTAAATTGTAAATATCTTACACATTTGCTATTGGTAACTTAAAAAGCAATGTATACAGTAAGAGTACAAGGACTTTTTAAATTTAAATTATGTTGTTAAGAAAACATTTTATACGACGAAACAAAACGGTAAAAATTAATTAAAATCTGGTTAATACCTAACTTATTATCAAAGGAATGAATACATTTTAAACATATTAACCTCTGTTATATTATACATATAATATAAAGAATTTAATTTTGATTCTTAATTGTTTATTTATAAGTTATAACATCTTTTATATAAAAACTTCAAAGAAAAACTTTGGTGAACAGTTGACCCAGAAATTATTTTATGCTAAAGCTTTATAATATATTTATTTATATTATAAAAAAATATCGTTTTTATAATAGGACAAACAAACATGAGGTTGCAAGATGCGTAGTTGACCTATTTTTGCCTGTGAACATTCAGAATTTTACAAGCTGAAATCGAAACACTTTATGGCTCTTTCGTGACCCGGCCGTATTACCCATTTAATAAATCTGTAATTTTCCAAAGTTCAAATGTGTACCTGTGTAGACCTGGCGGGAATTGAACCCACGGCCTGTAGATTATTAGTAATACATCGCTGTTTGCCTTTAGGCGTTTAACTGTAACAGACCTATCTCATTCTTATAATATGTATTTATGAATTTATAACCATTTAGTATTATAAATAAACAATGAGTATATACATTTGCTTAAATATAAAACGAGATTAACAAAAATTAAACTAATTGTTTAATTTCGAAGTCCGTTAATTAAAATAAGTCACAACACACATAAGTATCACATAATAGGATTACCTTAACCTATATTCTATTCTTGTCGCCATTTTACGTGTAATTTTTCAAACTCACCGAATACTGAGCCAAGTAGCCCTCAATGGTTAGAACTAATCTTAGAGTATTGGTTAATTATAGTATAAAAATCGCTTTAATAAGAGTACACATTTAAACTAAACACGTTTAACGGTTTAAAACGCAAAATATTTACAAGTTAACCTATTTATAATTTATTTTAACTACGGCCCGACGTATCGAACGCTTTGCGGCGTAGTCATGGCAAATCTATTCGCATTTTAAATCGTTAAAATTGTTGCATTTAAATGCGTGCTACTCGCGTTAACTGTAAACAATACTTAACGAGTACACATTTAAAAAAATAAAAATACTTTTAACGGTCTGAAACACGATAAATTCGGTAACTTGTTTTAACTAAGATCCTATTAATTTTGCGTTTTAAACCGTTAAAAGTCTCTCGTAAACTATTGACTTAAGAGTAGCTACTTATTTTCACTTCAATTATTCTTATAAGTACTCACTAAAAATGCACTGTATTGAGCAACTATAAACTATCAATGTCACTAACGTTCAACTCTTGAAGATATTTAAAAACTTCGTCTTAATGTTCAAAAGAGTCGTGATGGATCTCTTGACTTTCTTCTTCGGCGTCCTTTCGGGCCTCAGGAACGGCTCCGAATGCCATTTCTGCATTGCCGATTGGCACGGCGACTGGTCTTCTTTCGGTAACTGATACTTGTACTCCTTAACCACCTTCTCCTCATTAGCATCGTACCGGTAGAGAACTGAATACGTCCGCTTCACCTTCTTCGGGACTCGCGCGTTACACGCTGTCCTCTCGCTCTTGCATCTCTTAACTTTATTCCTTCCGTAGAAGTCCTCATAAGTGTCTGCGTCCACGTATATGATTCTCTTTCCCAAGGCCTGTTCGCGTTCCTTCTTAAGACTTCTCCACGAGGCGATGACAGACTCGCGCCGGAAGGTCTTATTGGGATTGTGGCGGCTGATCAGATAGGGCTGATCATCTTGAATATTCGTCGTGTCCTTCAGCGGAGACCCCCTTGGGCTCAGACTGTCGACCTCGTATTCGTCGCGGGAAATCTGTAAAGTTAAAGGTTGACTATTAATATTTACGTAACGTGCGTCGTAAATTAATTGATCCACGCCAGCTGTCCCGTAAAGTACGTCAGTGATCTTTGGGATTATTTAAGTACCCGATTGTACGTGCAAGGGCGCGCGTAGGGCTATCTCTGTTTTAATGATAGACGAGGACAGACCAGCATGTGGTTGGCTTGGTAAAGGTTGAAATACCCCACGCATATAATCATCTTAACATGATAGGCTGTCGACTTATCTTGGCTTTGGGTATTTAAAAAATCGGATACTAAACCGAAACGCAACTAAAATTTACTGCTTTTTCATCTAGACAAGACGGTGGACCTTTCCACCATTTTGATATTCCTACCGCTCGTTTAATATCTAGATTACCAGACAAAGATGTTTCAGATAAATTATAAATTGCGGTGGCGATAGAACCGGCAATCCGTTGATTATCAGCCATAATTGCTACCATTACACCAAATTATCAGTTAATACTAAAGTAATCAGGTTCGTTGCGTCATACGAGCCCTTCACGCGGTGCTTGTCTGTTACCACCTGTCGAGCTGACCGCACCACATCACAACTGGAAATGTTGGCAGACACCTCAAGAATTATTCGACAATGGCGAGGAAGCCTGTTCGAAAACAAAAGCTTCTCTTTATTAATGGCTATCCCATACTCCTTGAGGTAAAGGTTATAACGTCACAGCTTTTAATAGCCCCGAAACTTTAAACGTCCGTTGTAAAAAATGTCACCGACTTACAGCTTTGAAGCCGTAAAAGCTTTCGGATAATGACTTTTATAATCGCTCGCTTTCTAAAGACACGAGAGTGATCTCTTTTAATGCGGTTGTGTAACGTTTTGTTTTCTTCTATTATATATATTAGATACACTATAACGGTTTAAGAATGGGTCAGTCGAAAATAGACGCGCTGCGAGTTTATTGGAAAACGTTAAAGATGGAACAAAAGTTTAGTGTGGACACGCTGATTCTAAGTGCTGCATTTGGCCGTACAACTATTTTTATATAGTCTTTTTCTACAGCATCCCAAAAAACATTTAATAATAAAGCTTTTATTACGTTTTGTAGGTTACGTTTAAAAATTTGTATAAGATATAGGTATATGTTTGCTCGAGTTCTCGAAGAAATTGATACATCTTGCGGTGAGATATTTCTGCGTCCAACGCTTCTGACACGACAAATCCGCGCGTTGCTTGTTTTGACAGGCCGCGTTTTGTAACGTTATTTTTTTTATGGGTTCGTGAAAAAGGTGCAGTGTCGCGAATTTAGGTCGTTACAGAAATGGGTCATGCCGAAATATATATTTTTTTTACTATTAGCAATGTTAGTTAACACGACGTAATTAAACAAGATTATGCCGGGGCGAATGTAGGTTACAGCAATTTGGGAGTTTTCATTATTGTTATGCAACTTAATGGCGGCTATTTTTAAGATTAAAAGAAAATTATTTTCTGTTTATAAAATATTTTAAAAAATATCTGTACTTGTGTTTTTACGGATTGCTTACTCAAATGTATTGCTTATTATATAAATCTCTAATGTATGAAAAAATTACTTCTTGCAATCGATAAACTAATATTAGCCCTTTCTATTTCAGGTAATTTTATTGGCCGTGCACTACCGATGTGACTTTTTGGTGAGGCGTATCCATATTAACACAACGCGTGCCATTTTGAGTTCGTGAGGTAATATTTTGCTAAATACATCTAGTATTTCTGTCCCAAAGTGCTTAGTTCTCGCGTTATTTGTGGATATATTAAAACCGAAGGTAAATAAAGTACTGTGTTATACTTGTCATTGGTTATTTTGAGTTTAAATTCAGTGGAACAAATCAGAAATTATATTGTTTTATTATTACTGAAGGTACCGTTTATTCTTATGTCAATTTTCTTTACTTTAAATATATTGTATATAGTTTACACGTGTAAGGCACATAATATAAACCGTTTAAAACGCGAAACATACACGTTGATGTTTAACTACAACCTCACATTTCAGTTTCCTTATAACAGCCGTGTTTAAAACTGTTTTGTTCCATGGCTTTACGTCATTATTAAATTTAATAAACAGCAGAAGCGTATTAGAATTGGATTTGGCCTTCAAACATACCAATTAGAATTACAAGTGATTTAAACGAATGGTAATGTGATGGAAGCAAAAAGTTTATAAATTTTTATTGAAGCACTTTTCGGTGAATGCCTAAAACCTACTTTCAGTTACCGTTATGCTGTATGTGCTCGTGCACAGGTTATTATACCACTTTTTCATAAAATTTACTGCTATTTTTTGGCTGTGTGTGAGCTAGATTCTGAATGCGCTAAATTAATGATCATTCTATTTAATTACTGATGACTTTGAACTAATTATAACTGGTAATTTTAAAAGCAAGCCGGTAGATTTGTAGTTAAGAGGACGTTAAAAATTCTTAACGAACTGAAACTGAATTATTTTCGACGTGTGTATACAAAGTTTCAGCTTTAGAAACTTAAGTTTAAAATTTTAAAATACTACTTTGCTAGCCAATGTTATGTATTGATGCGACAAAAAGTTTCTGACCTTACTCAACTGCGCTAAATTGGTCCAAATCGTTAGATATTCAAAATAACTCGTACGTATTGATTTGCGCTATCTTCGTACGCAGTACAGAGTGCTATTTATACTCACTCAATTTTGCTACGAAGGTCGATAACCGATATTTGAAACAATTGACACTTGTACAGCGAACACAAGCTTTTTACGTGAACAACGTAATATACAAACACCCCTTGTATAGATAATCGTACAATTTGACGTTAATTTCTAATTAAGATATATAGATATATAAATCTGTATCCCTGTACATATGAAATGACTGAGTGACTGTTAATTTCAGAGACAAGGAACTTAGTAGATGTATTATCCGTATGGCGTATTAAAAGTAAAACTAAATAGTTTACGCGAGTTGTACACATTTAAATAAAACACGGTTTCAAACGCGGCATATATTAGTTAATCTTTTTTTGAAATTTTAACTATGGCCCGACGTTTCGGATGCTATGCAGCAGCCGTAGTTACAAGGGGAGTCTTCCCTATTTCGTAATTTATCTTCTTTGAGGACTGAAAAGGGAGACAACGTTTGTATAGAAAACGCATAATCTTGGTCCAATTGCGTTACGTTACGTAACGAAACATTTAAATCAGTTTTGGAAAGAGTTTTAATAAAAATATCACCTCCATATATTTAGTTAAGATATATTATAGACAGACATCAAATAAAGTGATAATGAATTTTACTTTAACACTCGCTACTCAATATAAGAGTCAAAACTACATATTTACATTTATGACTAACTCAGTTGCCTACGTGTAAATTTTTACCTCCTTACTATGTTGTGACTAATAGATTTTTTTTATGCTCAACTAACGTTTAATTCAGAGGACGCCGAGAGGTCGTCGTACCCGAACTTCCTTGAAACCAATTTATTGAGTGTATAAAAAATAGATTGCTTTTTATCCTGTTCGCTTTACATTGTGTCAAAATCTAGTACATTTTTTATCAAGCACCATTCACCATTAATTGCTTTTTTTTATACTTAATAGTTATCGAAGACGTATGCTAATCAAGTAAATTTAAATTATATTATAGTAATATAGAAAGCTGAAGAGTTTGTTTGTTTGAACGCGCTAATCTCAGAAACTATTAGGAACTAGATTGGAATTAGAAAAATATATTTTTGTGTTGGTTAGAGCATTTATCGAGGGTGGCTTTAAGGCTTTAAAACATCGCGATGCGAAAAAAAGTGGAAAAATTATTTTCCTTTGTGGGTTTCCCATGCGTACGCTGCGAAAACGGTACAAGGTACACAAAAAATATGTGGAAAAGAATTATTCCTCTATATGACCTAGAAAAATGTTTGCGACACTATATGTCTATCTTTTCAGTTCAAGAGACTCGTTTTAAGATATAATTGAATGTCGCGTCTAGACTTAGACATTAATAGTCTTATCTAGTGCTGTCGATAATTTTTAAACTGTCAATCTTATCACATAAATCTGTAATCTCTCTTTCGAAACTCAACTGGTCTGGAGAGTTGGAGAACTGGTATTCAATTTGTGAACATTACAACACAGATGAAAGATGACAGATTCTTTGTACGTCAAATTAAATGAACCCGTGGTAAGCTGTCAAGGATTACATTATGGTCTTAGCTTCTGGGTTTGAATCTAAGGGAAACGTCAATAGTTGTAATAGCTCAACAACAATACCCCCCTAATCGGAGTGCAAAACTAACCTAAGACGTTAAGACGATGAGTAAAAGTGCTTCAATATTTCGCTTACCCTATTTCAAATACATAGTATAATTGGTAAAGGTTATGTTGTAGACCTATGTGTTGCATTATTGTTTAGAGTTACTCGTCTTGAATGTTATCGTTTCACTTTGATCTCATTACAGTCGGGTGGCTGCAAAATCTTTCGCGGAGCAACCTTTGTGTAGGCTTATCCTTAATCGGTGAAAGTGTACGAAATTCGCAGAGACCACTCTTACGGCTACAGATCGCAATGATAAAATAGTAAAATCGAGTGAAGAAGGATGGGTTCCGTATAATTAGACGGAACAAAAGTTAAAAAGCCAAAAAAAGCCCCCTTTTTTTTAAATTTTTAATAGGTCTCTAACTATTCGGTTATTAGCGTTCCTTTCTTTCTTTTCAGAGACCGTGTAATTGCGAGGTTTTCAGTGAGCGCATGAATTAAATATTGTTTGAAATTACTGATTTGTTGTGCTTTTTAATATCTAAAGAATTTTTGCTGACAGCAATATCAGTTTGATTGAACTCCAAAACATGTTAATCAAATCGACTAGTTTTATTCCTACAATTGAGGAAGTAGTCATATTAAATTAGATATTAAATTAAAGCTTTGTGTACTATTAAAGTGGCATAGTAAAGGTAAACTAGAAAAGGGAATAAATATTTAAACACTTAAAGCTACAAACTCAAATGTTTTAAGCCTTGTGTATTTTTGACCTACGTACCTCGTTAGGGTAGTTGGTTAATTTATTCGGGTCCCAGACCCAAAGGGTATTGGACTATTGCTAAGTACTAAGCTAACGTTTCGTATATTTAACAGTTTTTATATAGTTACAAGGTGTATTGACGCGGTTTTAAATTAAATTATTTATAAAGATCGGGACACGATAGTTTAGTAGAGCAAACGGTACAAACCCCGGCCGCGTCTTTTTTTTCAATCTAAAAAAGGTTTTATTTATATTATAAATATGGATGTTTAAAATTCGAACTTACCACGCTCTCCCAACTGCCTCCCAAGACGGTCTTGTCCAACATTTTGGGGCACAACACAGAACAATATTGCTTTGATATGAAGCCAAATTACGAAACGAATTGAGTAATCGTGTTACGGTGTGAACGGGACACGGATCACGTTGTCATTCGGGAACTGGGAGTATTTGGCACTGTGCTCGCACCACACGCTTTGGAACAACTGAGCTGAAATCATTGCAACGCAATATTTATAGGACGGGAGAGGGCGGCTTTCGGGAATTTTGCTTCCACTTAACGTGTAGTCATGGTTTTCTTGTAGTTTTCGCGGAATGTACAGTCCCAGTGGGGTAGGTTGCTCGCGTTTGTGGGAAGTGGGAAATGTGTCGCGGATTTAGCACGTTTTACAAAAGTGTGTCAACGCATTTCGTGCTTTTGTTGTCCTGTATGTTAAATCGTATAGCTTTGAAAAAGCATTAATGTTAAATATCGAATATGTATAAAAACCTTCCTCATGAATCAAAATAAAATAAAATATACTTTATTCTCTTTAAAATTTTAAAAATTATTTGAGTATATTGGTCAACAATTTTTTGTTTGTCTGTCTGTTTGTCGTGATTCTACACAAGAAGTTCAGTACGACTTTTTTTTTAATATGTCTTATAAACTAATACATTTTGATAAATTTATTAACAGGAGCAATTCCTATTACTGCCAGGCGGTCTTGTCATTAAAGAAATCGTTCAGACAATAATACGCCTTTTGAGACAATCTAAGTTTTTATAACTTTCTTAAATTTATTTATCGATAAATTTGAAATCTCGACTGGCAATGTATTACACATACGAATACAATTCCCCGCAAATGAATTAGATATTTTATGGTGCCTATATTTGGGGTTAAGGTTATCCTTATTTCGTTAGTTCAAATGATGCCTATCTCTATTCTTGCTGAACTTGCTTTTATTCGCATCTACTACACTCATATACAATCACTCTATAAAAAAAAACTGCATCAAAGACCATTGCGTAGTTTTAAAGATTTAAGCTTACAAATGGACAGAAAAAGCGACCTTGTTTTATAATAACTATATGTGATATATCAACATATCTATTATTTTAAAGGCTGTGTCTAGTGTATACCTGTATGGATGAATTATACACATTTGCACACGTCGGGTCATTTTTTAAAGTAACTAAAGCTATTATTTATGGGTACCAATTGTAGAAATATAGACTAAAAACATAACCGCCTAGACATATTAAGTTAGCAGGTAATATATGACAAAAATGAAAAGTATTGGACGATTTTAAATTGAAAATTTATATTGTAATAGTAATATTCGACACGAGGGGGGCTTGAACCGGTATAGACACCGTTCTGAGCATAAAAATAATTGGCCCGACGGCGTCGAACTTTTTTTAAACTAAATAGATTTTTAATTCATATAACGTCGTCACATAAAAACAAACGTTAAAGAAAGGTTTTGTAACATGGTTTTGTTAGATGCGAAGATCTCTAGGGATTTAGGTCGGCCTCCGGTGACGTTGGTTTCTATGCATTTCTGTGTTTGTTCCTAATGATGCTGCGTGTATAAATACGTATGTTGGACCTGTATTTCCGTCACGACCGGGTTAAGCAGCGCATCACACCACTTGAGTTTAGAATGCTTGACGTCACTGCAATTGCATCGATAGAGTCAATGACATTATGGATTTACGAATCCCATTAATAGATTCACCCTTTGCAAATTAGGGGTATGTTAGCGTTACGTTAAAACGTCTTGAATTTCGAATCTGAGGAAATAATATTAGGTATGTAAAAGACACAGTTATATGTCTGTCCCACTCTTTACATATCAAATATTTGTGTTTTTTTTTATTACTAAATTCTATGGTTGTATTTATATTAATTTGTTAACAATAATGAAATGTAACAGTAATACCATAAAAGATTATAAGAGAAAGAATGGGACTTTCTTCCTAACTCCAAATAAAATATTACATTAATAATACTGACTTTTATACAATTGTCGACAGAAACCTTTAAATTAACTATAATGACGATCTTTTTTATGATAGAGGATGATAGACAAGATATAACATCTCAAATGCGCTGTCGACCTATATTGGCTATTGTTTTATATCTTTACTAATGGCAGACTTTTTACAAATACGAGTTGATAAATACATTGTAATGGGAAAGTCGTGAAACTAAGAAGAGGAAGAAACATATTGTAAGAACGAGTTGGTTCAGTCGAGTAGGACACGGTTGATGAGTCAACTGCTTGCCTGTCAAATAAATCTGTCAGTTGAGCACAGACGTAGGCTCCAAGTGGGAGAACTGTACAGGTTTTGCGAATGTCTTATCTGATTTCCTTTTGCAAAACTATTTTGGTTTGATTAGTACCCAGTAAATACTGTCTATAGTTTACGCGAGTAGTACACATTTAAATAAAGCACTTTAACGGTTTAAAACGCGATATATTAGTTAAACTTATTTGAAAATCATTTTTATTTTCCACCAGGAAATCTTACCCGCGACCCATTGATTATTGAGCGAAATAGTTATTGACCGTACCTCAAGTATTCGAAGATGTGCTAATACCATCATTATCCCAATATGCATTCATTCAGTTCACAAGAAATTCCCTCTAATAGCGTATCGTGTTTACATTATACCTCGGGATTACGTATATTCATTTCACAAAGGCCGTTGTTCCCGGAAAATATGTGTGTACTTAGTATTGTTTTCGAGAAATTTCGTGCTCCTAGTGATTTTTTACAACCTGGTAGCTTCTTATAACAGCACTTCTATTTTATAATATTTCTTGTTTAATTACTAAATAGGACACTAGGCAGACATATTCTTGTAGAGTTATATGGGGGGGGGGGGTTTCCTGGTTGAGCCTAAATTTAATTTAAAATGCGTTAAAAAGCAGGATGCTGTAAAAACTCTTCTACTTATAAAAGAAAAACAAAACGAGTTAGGTTCTACTAGAGCCATTTTCCGCCGTACTAACAGTATTATACTAGTGCTAACAAGAAACTTTAATAAATCCCCTTTATTTATGGTTACGTCAAGAAAAGGGCGGGAAATGTGCCCGTTTGCTTTCCCTAATGAAACCGGCGCCACGCCCATTGCAGTTTGAAATCCCTTTTCATGAATCATGTTGCAACTCATCCTTTTATCGGGAATTTTATTAACATTGTATTTTTTTTATCTTTTGCAATTTAATTACTTTGCTATTAAATAAAGTAACTTTTAATTTTGTCATTGGAGTTGACGATATAGTAGTGTCAACTATTCATACTCATTTTTCTCTATTTGATAGATGGGGTTGAAATACCCTAGCTATATAACATCTAAACAAGATGCGCTGTTGATCTATTTTGGCTTTGGATATTCGGAAATACACAGACTGAAATCGAAACGCGATCAAACTCCACGGTTTTCCATCTGTGAGCGATGGTTCGTGAGTCGTCGGACTGTATTTCGATACTCCCACCGCCCATTTATTATCCTGATTTCCAGAAGCTCCACATGTTTCAGAAAAATAATATTTTATTGGACCCGGTGGGGATCGAATGCACGACTCGTTGTTAGTCTTACATTGTTACCATTACACCAACGAACTCGTCGAAACGTTTTATGTATTGTGTGTGTGTGTTTGTCTATTTTTCTCCCTATATTGTATATTTGGTTTAGGATTAGTTGAATGGACGGAACAAATCTTGATCTCCGATAACGGAAAAGAAAGAAAGAAACATTACGCAAAACGATTGTCCCTTTTTCGCATACTCTAAAATATAATTATTTTTTATTTTACAATATAGCGCGCGATTCGTATCATCGCGCTGTCATAACACGTGTCATTCGCTTTGTTTACGAGATGCGCACGCGTCGCTCGCGGTGCAACCGGCGACGTGACGCGCGCGCCTCAAATAACATATTGACCCACTAACTAAATTATCGTTTGTTTACTTCGTTGTTAGACGTGTGCCTATCGCTAACATAGTTTAACTTTAGCTGTACGTTATGTACTACGCATAAATTTGTTTTTCGTTTTTTTCTTAAGACAGATGTTATGTATAAGAAGTCAGCCAATCATGTGATTTACATGATGGTACGCGAAATACCCCAGACATATAACATTTAAACAAGAAACGCGTTTAATCTTAAGTTAAAGTTTTCAATCTATGGACGGTTATTCACAACCCAAACTTAATTTGTTGAACGAAGTCCAACAAGTTTCAGAAAAATTATAAATAGATTAGAAACATATTGAATCCGGTGGAGATCGAACCCCGACCCGTTGATTATTGGCCTTCCATTAAATCAACGAGCCCATCAAAGTATTAAACTATTCGCGTAAACTACAGAGTTTACGCGAATAGTTTAATACTTTTAAATAAAACACATTTAACGGTTTATAACTGGAAATAACGTTCGCACGGACGTTTCGGATGCTTTGAAACGGTCGTTATTAGGTACGGTTTCGAAGTGGTAACGTTTAAAACCAAAGATTCTTTATTCTTGATAACTTTATTCAACTTATTTAATAAATCAAATATCAAACATTTATTTCTGTTCTATATAATTGCATGTTTATTTTTCTTTATCTTATCCCTCAATGAGACACAGGTTTTTATCATTTTTCAATATCCTCTATAATTGCGTCAGTTTGTTCTTGAAGATAAGTCTCATTTAGTTAAAAATTGTAAAAGCAATTGTCATTCTAATATTTATATTATCTATAAAAACATACATGTTAAAATCCGTTGTAATTATTAGTATCTATACTAATATATAAAGCTGAAGAGTTTGTTTATTTGATTGCGCTAATCTCAGGAACTACTAATTATTGGGAAACTAATTTGTCATTATGGGTTTCCGAGGCGTACGCTGCAAAAACGGTACAAGATATCCAAAAAACATGTATTAAAGAATGAATTAAATTATCTCAAAATAAGTTCTCAACGCTATATGTCGATATTTTAAGATTATTCCGCAAGGACGACGGCGACCGACGTCGTATAAAATAACTATACCATGCGGACGAAGTC